CAGAGCAAACGAAAATATTCTCCTTGTGAACAAGAATCAGATAAGGATGCCCTCCATCACTTCCCTATGCAATACTGCATTGGAAGTCTTAGCCAGAACAGTAAGACAAGAAAGGTTTCCATCATGACAAAGAACAAGTAAAACTATATCTATTTGCACATAACATCTCATACATAGAACATCCTAGAAATTTCAATAAGAAAATTAGTGGAACTAATAGAAGGTTTCAGCAAAGTGGCAGGGTATAAGATCAACATACAAACAATCAGCAGGATTCCTCCACACTAAAGAAGAGAATTCTGGAGAGGAAACCATGAAAACAATACCATTTTCAATGTTGTTGTTGTCATGTTCTGTCAAGTTGGACCTGACTCACAGCAACCTTCCTTGGGTTTCCAAGGCAGTATCACTACGGAAGTAGATTGCCCAACCTCCCTTCTGAGGAGTGACTGGTGTGTTTGCAAAGATGAAGTACATAGGAATAAATCTAATAAATGTAACCAGACACATAAGAGACCTATACAAAGAAAACTACAAAACACTATAAGAAACATAAAAATATGAAAAAAATATGTATATAATGGTCATGCAGAGGAAGAGTTAAACTTGTAAAAATGATGGTAATACCCAATCAATATAAAGATACAATGCAATCAGGATCCACATTCTGTGTCCACTGTTTGAAGACAAAAACTAATCACCCAATTTTATACAGAATGTGAAGAAATCCTGGATAAGCATAACACTACAAAAGAAGAACAAAGTAAGAGGCCTCAGATGCTCAAAACTACTATGTACCTACAGTAGTCAAAAAACCTTGGTATTTGTACAATGACAGATACATACCCACTGCCACTGAGTCGATTATGACTCACGGCTACCCCACTGACTTTCCAAGGCTGTAGACATTTGCCAACATAGACTGCCTTCTCTTCCTCCTGAAGAGCAAGCAGCTGATGGCTTTGAATTGCCAACCTTGGGCAGCAACCAAATACCTTATCCACGACATCATCAGAGCTGCTTGGCAGAAACAGACAAATGGAAAATAACTGAGATCCCAAAAGGAAATTCATCTACCCAGGGACAACTGCTCTTTGGCAAAGGGCCAAAACCCATTAACTGAGGAAAACATAGTGTCTTTAATAAATTGTTTTGGCAAAAAATGGGTATCTATGCAGAGAAATGAAACATGATCCATATCACACACCATGTAGAAAAACTAACTCAAGTTAGATTAAAGACCTCAATGTAAAACCTAAAACCATAAAGATCATCAAAGAAAAAAGAG